TTGCATAATCTTCAGCATTGGCTAGTTTGTTTAGTCGGTAATGCAAAGTCAAACTCTTTGGATTACCTGTCACACTTTCTTTGACTGTTCTGAGGTCAAAGTAAAGGATGGGGTAAAGTTTCGAGAACTTGGCGACTTGCAGCTAGGTACCCGAGTTGTAGTCATTTTTCTGTATCGGAAGTTTATCAGATCGTTGAGGATCCGCAATTTGAAGTCGCTTTCATAATCCAGCTCGGGGAAGTAACTGGTCCCATACTGCAGGCGGCAAGTGGACAGTTTTGCTGAGTCGTCCCCATCGAGGCCAAAGTTGTCGAAGATGTAGGGATTGTGTTCCAGGGAATTTTGTTTTTGGGTCTGCTGAAAGAACACGAACACATGTTTGGGGTTTTTGACACCATGGGTTATCAGCCAAGAGCCCCCCGCATCCCTTCGGCTTGAGCTAGGGTGCAACATTTCTTTTAAATAACTCCATTGAGTCGGTTTCAAGAAATTTTAATTGACCAGCTTTTGTCCTTCAGATGTCAACCTCGGCTGTGGAACCCACAATTCAAACTTTCGGACAAAAATTCTACGCCCACTACCATCGCTCTAAAAAATCATTTCGTCGTCATTCTGAAGCCCAATCTCAAACTCAAGTTGCATTGGGGGCAAAAGCCTGTAAGACAGTTCTTTAAAGAACGAATAGCGGTTGAGAGGAATGAGAGTTTCAACCGTAGCGCCCCCATGTGGAAGCAGCCCGCGCTGGCGGATTCCCAAGTTTGTTGCGGCGGCGGCTGTTACATTTGTAGCATCGCTGTCAAGATACCAAAAGTGGCTTTTCGCCACACTTCTTCCATAATCGTCAGAATAATCCAGCAAGCTTTTGATAAATATGACTTTGTGGATGTTGTCGGCTTCGTAAACGGGTTTACCAGCAGATTTGACGGTCATGGTTTTTATCAGAAAAAACGCACTGTTGATTGGGGCCGACCGCGTGTCACCACCAACAGTAGCGCCGTCTGCGAGGGCCTGAAATGTGAAATTTACACGGAAAAGGGCGTTGTACCAGTCGTAGACATTGTCCCTGTCTTTCACAGAGAACTCCTAACCACTTTTTTGTTGATGCTGATTGTTGCCCGGAAGCGTGAGCGGTGTGTCCAGGTTGAACTGGACGTAATCTACCTTTTCGAGAAAGCGCGATGTCCTGAACATCGTCGTTCGTATATATTCATAGAAAAATTTTGCTTAATTTAATTTTAAAGCTGGTTCCCTGAAATCTGAGCCAGTTTCAGCATTGCATCTGGCGACGATGTGATGGAGGAAAATCGTATCCCTCTTCTCCCTCCTCCGATTTCTATTCACGCGGAACGGCTTCAAATTTCTGACGCACCTCGAAAGCAAAACGATTCAATTTGAAATCATTGTTAAGTGACTCTTAAGTCGTTAGTAGGTTTTAACACACAATTTTAGAAGTAAAAGAAAGTTTTAAACTTTTACTTCCTAAAAAAGTTAAGAACATTTGGCGATAAATCACGAAACATTGTGGCAACAAAAACAGCTTCAAATTTCAGCGGACCGTACACAAGAATACGGCTCGCTAAATTGACCAATCACAGCACGCGTACTAACTGAGAGATATAATAATGAAGCTTAATCGAACCCACCTGCTACCCGCTTGTTGTTTCCGCCATCGGAAAGCTCCGTTTTCAAAATATTTTAGTTTAGTATACTGCTTATCTCTTTATTTTCAGCATTTTTAAGAACTCTGGTGGCAGAAAGTAAGATGAAATGTTTAAAGGAGAAGGTCACTCCAAAAAGCGTATGTTGTTGTTTTCAACGCTAATAAAAACCTCGCGCTAAATTTAGCCACTCACCGAAGTTTCAATCTGTAAATTCTAGGATTTCCTTACGAAATTCGTCTTCAAAGAAGCTCAAAATTCGACATCGTTACCACCATTTTGAACAGTACTCAGAAGCCAGGTCGCGTTTTCGAGCTCATTTGTAAACCCTTTCTAAAGAAGTAAAAAGAGCAGGGAACTCAGCACTGGAGCACTCACCCTGTAACTTCAGTGAGTGTAAAAGCCCACTGTTTACTCCGGACATTTGAGAACAGTCGAGAAATGAAGAAACACGTGCTCCAACCCCGAAAAAGATAGCAGTAAAGATAGTGAAGTGGATAATCGGTTTAAAAACAAAAAAGAAAAAAACATTTTCCTGACCTTGTTGAAGGATGCCAAGTTAGTTGCAGTTGTGTCTGCTTCCCGCCAATTTCGAGTTGGACGGAGTGATGTCACATAAATACGGCCTGGCTTCCAAATACAGTTTCAAAATGGCAGCGTCCAAAGTCGAATTTTGGGCTTCTTTCGACACGAATTTCTTCAGGATAGCAAGCACTTTAGAGGCTGAAACTTGTTCTGCAGCGTTCTTCGCCGATGCAGGAGATTGCGAAAAACAACATAAGCATAGCAGCGTACAGGGAGTACTTTATTTGCTCCATCTGCGCTATTTTTCTTCATAATAGTAGGTTTTAGTCTTTACTGACTTAAAATAACAGAAATGATTAAAATTTATCACGCGCAGACCTCCTTAAGCTAAAAGAAGATAAAATTCTGTGATGTTCAGTTGTGCATATAAATTAAATAAAAATTACAATATATTTAACATATATTGAAATGAGGAAGATGAAATGACAGTACTTTAAGATGGCTCCCTATAGTTTATTGACTGCGCTCGAACTGGTTTCGAAAATCGCGCGATGGCGCGAGCTTTCAAATATCTACGCGAAAGTCGCGCCCGAGATCACGCAGTAAAATGCCGACAAACACGGCGCAGAATTTTCAAAATGTATTTGTCGCAAAAGTTGCCTGAATCTCCTCCGGTTTCAAAATATTTATCGACTGAATAGATTAAGAATTTCTTCTTCTAAATTTTAATCTCCAAAAATGCGTCGCAATATTGCCAAAAGTAGCTTTAAGTAGGGCATTTGAACTAAACACGATTCTTCTCCCACTCGAACACGCCAATGACGCCACTGGGTCCTTGAAACACATGCGCGCGCGGTCGTCTCAAGATTTTATAACGTCACAAACAAGCCAACGAAGAAAAACAGTGCTTGTTTTTCTCTTGTTTCATTCGGTGAAATTTTGCCAAAGTTTGTAAACTTCATGATGTAGATGCCTTCTTCACAATGTCATTTTTTAACGATTTTTACGAATCTACCAAAAAAAACTTTTTATTTTTTCAAATTAAACTTTCGTCCGAAATCGTCTTCACAAGACTGATGAGTTTGCGATAAACTCATATGAACGAAGAAGAATCCCCTGGTGTGTTGCTAATCTTCATTGCGAATGCCGGGAGCTTATACCCAAAGGTAAAAAAAGCAGTTCATTTTTAGTTTTTCATCCTTCTATAGGCGTAGATACTAATGCCGTAGGGAGCCACCTTAACACGTCGTTGGATAAAAACACAAAACGGTCTAAAAACAGTAAATAATCAGTCCGGAATATC